TTAAATACACAAATAACCGATCATTTAAAACTATTAAACCCTGAATTGTATTGCAAATAGACCTTTCAGTAACAGGATATTACATTTAAAAATCAATATGTAAAGTTTTGTTAGTAATCTTTGAATTATGTTTCTGGTCGATGGATTACAACATACGAGGGCTGGCTGAAAAGTTCTAAGTCTGAAAAGGATAGATCATTTGGGCCGAAACAAACTTTTGCCACCAACAAGTACAATCATTGAATGAATCATAGACATAAGAACTGCAACTGTAGTGTTATTATTGTCTTCTTCGTACCAGGCCATCTTGTGAACCTAACCATTGGAATCACCAAAATGGACAAAACTGGCTTTGGACAGTCATCAAGTACTTGCCACCTAACAGGACTAACCCCAAACACAGATACATGCCGGCATGATCTCCACTTTAAAGGATGATATCCCTTCCTTTTTCACAGTAAAGAAGTGGGCTGTGGAATTTAAGCGTGGCAGACAGACTTGACGATGACCTGTGAGTTCATCAACAGCAACCATACATGAAAACATTACACGGGTGCATGACATGATGATAGCCGATCGACCACTCGACATATTGCCAGTGATGTTATTTTTCATCTTTCGGGGCAGGGTTGGGCATATTATCACTTACAAGTTAGGGATGGGAATAAATTCTGCAAGAGGGATGCCAAAAAGTTCTTGACTGCGAATCAGAAATGTGTCAGATTACTGACGTCCAGGGCAATCTGCGCCGTTTTGAAGCAGATCATGATCATTTTTGCCCCGTCAGACTTCCACCTGTGGCTGAAGAAAATTTCCTGAACGGAATCCAGGCTTTGCATCATCGCCGGCAAAAGTGCGTACACCTCTAAGGGGAGTGTGTAGAAAAATAAATGGAAACGGAATCCAGGCTTTGCATCATCGCCGGCAAAAGTGCGTACACCTCTAAGGGGAGTGTGTAGAAAAATAAATGGAAACCATCGACTTTCACAAATAGGCTTAGAACTTATCAGCCACCCTTCGTATAATTCAACGTTTATAATAGTACGACGTATATCGTTAAGCGGGTGTCTCCTGTAATTCTTCGGAAACTCGTGACTGAATAGCGGAAGTGATGTTCACTACATCGAGCCGCTAATGCTTAAGCGTCATATTTCAGGCATCTCGAGGGGTTATTATTTTAAGAACTGTAATCGATCCGTGTAATTCTTTCAAACGTTTATACGCAGGCTTTGGGGTTCAATCATCACTTAATTTAAAACATGTCCTGCGTTATATCTTAGGTCCGGATGAGGGTATGGGTGACGTGGTCGTGGGCAAGATTCCGTTTCGACGTTTCACGGGCCTGTCGTGGTGCTGGTTGTCCCTTTCAGCTTTGCAACTTCCGTAAATCATTTACTGTATATGACACCATAAGAAAACACCAATTTTAAATAATAAATGTCAATATATTGATCAACAAATTACCGTTAACAGTAGACAAATCACAAACATATAAAATATCTTAGTTCAAGGTTCACGTAATCATATAAATATGAAAAGTTCACAAATTAGCCTACTCACGAAAGAAAGTCACATGTTCACGATTTTCACTAGAATGAGTAAATTACAGAAATTAAGAGTTCACCACATAATTAACTGCTCACAAAATGTTCACGGGGATTCACTGATCATATTCACAAAAGTTTAATTAATTCACGATTCACATATTTACCACAACCATGCGGGGAAAAACGGTTTCGAAGCCGGTGGGGACATTGTTGCCCGCCACGCCATGCTTCGGTCACATCCCATAATCATCAACAATCACCAAGACAATAGACGTGATTATACAATAATAACATCTTAATAGAGAATAAAGACTAGGTCAATTAGACTCTCATTACTGAAATTGTACACGAGTAACTCAAATTTCAATTCACATTGTAAATACCGAATGCAATAATTTGGACATTACAGAGGGGGTACACTTTTCCTCGTATTTAGATGAAACTTAAGTTAAATATCTCTGACGAGATTGATGTGTGTGCGGAACAGACATTAAATTCCTCTTTCATAGTTGTCTGGTCCATATCCGTCCGCACTTTCATTTTAATGGTATAGGGGCAAGGGTTTTGAAGATATTTCTTTTCAAATTTAGTGTGAACCAGTGATTACTTATTACATTTTCAGCTGGGAACATTAACCCCCATCTAGTTTCATCATTGTCCGTTGGTATATCCGTCAGCAATGAGCTTGAATGATTTTTGGGAACCTGACAGGATGAAACCTATTGAACTTCACTAAGCTCCATGGGCGAATAAATAGTGTATGGCAACCGCTTGTTTTGGGTTTGGGGAATTCAAGTAGAACTCAAACAAGGAGCGGGGCGTGGGTCGATCATTTTGAAATTAAAATGTAACTATTATTTTAAAGGACAATATTGGTGTTGGTGTCAATCATTATCACATATGTGATAGAACTAATTTAACACGTTCGTCACTTCCGATTCAGGAAACCTGTATTACTCAGCTATCGTAGCAATGATCTTTGTGTTAAAACAAGCCAACAGTGAGGCTGATGTCCCCCGCCGAAATAGGAAAATAATTAGAGGACACATATAAATTTATCACAAATTATCTTTTACAAAGTATTGAACAATCAAACAGTATATCTTTACTTATAGTCTAACAATCAAAGTAGGAGAGTTATTGTTTTCCAAAGTCTCGACCAATCAAATTGCGTATCGCTCTGCTTACCCTGAGCAGAAAATGCTCATTATCAAACTTAGTCAAGGTATTACTGTAATGAAACTATACACCAAGTTTCATCAATCTCACTTAATTAGAACTAAAGTTATCGTGTCCCAAAGCATCAACCAATCAAATTGCTTATCTCTGCTTACCCTAAGCGGAAAATGCTCATCTTCGAACTCCATCAAGGCATTGACCTAATCAACACATACACCAAGTTTGAACATTCTAGCTCAATTAGGAAGAGAGTTATCGTGCCCAAAAGTATCAACCAATCAAATTGCTTATCTCTGCTTACCCTAAGCGGAAAATGCTCATCTTCGAACTCCATCAAGGCATTGACCTAATAAACACATACACCGAGTTTGAACATTCTAGCTCAATTAAAAGTTATCGTGTCCCAAAGCATCAACCAATCAAATTGCTTATCTCTGCTTACCCTAAGCGGAAAATGCTCATCTTCGAACTCCATCAAGGCATTGACCTAATCAACACATACACCAAGTTTGAACATTCTAGCCCAATTAGGAAGAGAGTTATCGTGTCCCAAAGCATCAACCAATCAAATTGCTTATCTCTGCTTACCCTAAGCGGAAAATGCTCATCTTCGAACTCCATCAAGGCATTGACCTAATAAACACATACACCAAGTTTGAACATTCTAGCTCAATTAGGAAGAGAGTTATTGTGTCCCAAAAAGTGTGACGGACGGACAGACAGACGGACGAACCCATTTTAATAGTCCCCTGCTTTCTTCGAAAGGCGGGGGACAATTATATATGGAATGTGTTTAACCAGCTCTATTACATATGTGATAATGACTAGCACCAATATTGTCCTTTAATTCATGCAGCTAGGAGAAAACTTGATGGATGTGGTATGGCACATTTCTCGGATCTTCAAAACTTTCGCTATGCAGAAAGCTAGGTCTCGGCTTCTAAACCACTTAAGGTCGCAACTTAGTGTTTAAACCTACATTAACTCAATAAAGAGAACATTATCCATGTTCGAAAAAATAAAATCGGTATACTTATATCTGAACCAGTTAAGATCAAATTTTTGGGTGTTTAAACATACATTTTGAGGTCCTAGCAATACAATTATACCACATGAAAAAGGACCGGTTTAATTAATGCAAGAAAGACAGCGTTCCGGTAAGTTTGGAAACCGATCTGTTCATGTAAGTTAGAAAGAAAACCCGAATCCTTATTATATTAGGGCACTGCAGTCAATGAAAATATTGCAGATACAATACAAAGGTGGGGAGGTTATTTTTTTATTCGATTTATTCTGACTTGAAAGCAAAAAGAGACGGACTCGTTATTGTCAGACACTACTTTAATTAATATTCTAAACATATAACGGTAAATCTATTCGATCTTTGGCGTATATTCTATGCCCGGAATAACCTGCGGTCTGAAAGATATACAGGGGGATTTGGGGTTATTCTTCTGAGAATTTTTCTTTAAACCTGTAACGGGTTATTTTTCCAGGGTAGGGTTTTTGTCCATAAGAAAACATGATATTAGGTTTTCCTTACTGGAATTCTGGGATATTCTAATTTTACGTACATGTAAACATAGACAGTTTATAAGAAAGATAAAATCATCGACTTCGGTTATGCTGGGGAAGAAAGACTTCAGAAAAAACCCTCGGCATCGGTTGTTCTTTTTCTCGGGTTATTTTCTTCAGTCATTCTTCCCCCAGCATAACACCATGTAAACATAGACAGTTTATAAGAAAGATAAAATCATCGGCTTCGGTTATGCTGGGGAAGAAAGTCTTCAGAAAAAACCCTCGGCCTCGGTTATTCTTTTTCTCGGGTTATTTTCTTCAGTCTTTCTTCTCCCAGCATAACCCCAGTCTCCTAAACATACTACACGTTAACTGATTCTTTATAAAGTTTTTCCTATTGATCATTCATTAGGCTTTCCATAATATATAGAACCTTAAATATTCTCAATCCCACACAAATATTGCAAAGACAAATATCAACATTACAAATATGGTTATTCCCAACACTATCCACAGACATATGTTATCAAACTTTCGACTAATTGAACGAGAGGTACTGCTATCTTTAATGTTGTATATGGATTCTGTTGTGGCTCTACGTGTCAAACAATGAATCAGTCGGTTCAGTGTGTTTGCGCTGTCATTTTCATTGGTTTCTTGGTGGTAGATAGCCAGACTTATACTTGACATCAGTACGACCAATGAGTTAAGGATGAGTTCAGAAGAAATGTAGATAGCAAGGTATGAAATTTCGTCAGTTGTTTCGGGCATGACAGAATTAATTGAGGACATATATATGGCCATAGACAATAAAATTGTGATCGAAAATGACAATTTCTCGCCACTGCTCGCTGGTATGATGAACGCACAGATCTTGGTGAAGGACAATAGTAAAACGGGCAGTATTACCGTTAACACAATTATTGATGGACGTCGTTTAATGGTAATGACTATCTCTATGTGGTTTTCTAATATTTCTCCATTACTAATTTCCGCTTCATAATCACGTGCAGACGAACCTACCAATTGCCATTCTCCATTGTTACAAAAATCACTTTCAGAAATTCCACCATTGTAAGTCTTGAATGTTACTCCACCACCATTTACTGATCCCCTATGAGAAAAATCAAGTCTACACGTTTGTGTATCAAATGGATATTTAGATGTATCTATTTCACAAAACGTTTTTAAGTTAACTTTCGGATACCAAGTTGCGTCGCCGATGTTGTTGACATGTATTTCTATAAATCCTTGACCTATTGGATTACTGTCATCAATCGAGTACGTGGCTGTAGGAAGTGGTCGCCATATATCATCTGAATCAGGAGAGATGTGCGTCACTCCGCCATAGTCACTGGCGTTCCAAGCAATGAGCTCGTCTCTCCATTTTAATTCCAGGCACGAAATTGTTGACAGTTTTTGTAACGTTTCATCAAAATCTATTATGGCCATAATATTTAATCTGAAATAGACAACCAGTGTCTCTGATTGTTCTTTTAATGGACGAATACGCGGGTTCAGTGGATACACTTTGTCCTTAAACAGTCTGTCTGTATCCAAATCAGTACCAGCTAAACATTTTACAACCAAAAATAGAATCCAAAACAACCGGTTTAGTAACATTTCGTTCTTTGGTAGTTATACGTGGTAAAGGTCTGCACCTTTCAAAATAATTATCTATCTGTCAGAAATACTGTCTGCAGGACGTGTAATTTTTGGCATCATAGAACATAACTGCCTTGTTTATGATCCAGTCACACAGTATTGGCGAACTACAATTTCTGTTCTGGAAACTGTGATATCAATTACATATCCAAAACCGCAACGCCCACACAGATCTAAACATCCATTTATATTCTGGAAAGTTAAATATCAAGGATAATAATGAAACTGTTAGGCTCTGGATTGTATTGTCAATAGATCTTTCAGTAACAGGATATTATATTTAAACATCAGTATTTTTTGTACAAATTTTTGGCAGCTTTGCTAATAATTTTTCTGATGGATGGATCACAATAAATCAGTCAACGTTTATAATAGCACGTTTACCTATAAGCACATCTTAACTCTTCGAAAACCCGCGATATTCACTGCACCAAGCAACTAAACCCCACCTATCCTATTTCAAAGTCTTGAGCAATTGTACTATATTGGCACAGTGTTTCAAAGAGAAGTCCCACCGATTTAAATTAGAGACCGAGTTTTGCATGGGTAGCTTTTCGTTTAGATAAATATACAGGGGACCTATCCGCGATGTTGATGGTCTACCTTTTGGTTAATAAAACATTAGCTGTTGGCACTGTATATCTCTAAATGAGTAGAATGACTTTGACAGCTAGGTTACTTTGTGGGGCTGTATCCGGGGGTCCGAGGATCAAATTCAAACGCAGACGGGTGGAAATTGTGTAGGAGATAGTCGTATGTGTCGTGAAGTATGGGTATGTCTTGAAGATGAACCCTGTGTGCAAAATGCCGTCAGGGAACAGACATGGCCTATATCACCCCTCTCCTCCTTGTCCACAGCCATGTGTTATTTTGATTTATCTAAACGAAGGGTTTATTTAAACTGCAGTCGGGCAATTCTATCAACATGAACCAGATTAGTTATACACACCGAGGCTTTCGGGTCTATCTTAACACGCATATGCCACGTGTTTTGGGTGAAAACCAAAGTTCAATTATTATAGTAAGACGTCAAGAACGGTTTCCAAGTCGAAACCGATTACATCAGATATATGGAAATGCACTGCACACACTACTAGGCTGGTAGGAGAATTTCAGATTTACGTGAGCTTTGGAAAAAAAATGATTCTTGCTTTTTATGGAAATGTTACTGGCTTTCTTGTTTTGGGATTTATAAAATCCACAAATGCTTTTCCGCGCCACAATGCTTTCCCTCTATTTGCCCATCGATAAAATCATTATCGTTAGATTTGTGTAAACTCTAATTCTAGTCAGGAAATTCTAATTGTCGCGACCTCCCTAATTGCCCCACCCTAAAAAGATAATTTAGATTAGCTTAATCACTAACCGCATGGAAGTTGTTGAATAATATTGAGCATATTTATATCAAGAATGGCCGTCGCCAGACATTTCCATCCGGAAGGAACCCCCGCTAGACGTCCTTAACTGCCCCACCCCAAAAGCTAAACTAGACTAGATCATTTACTACCACTCAAAACTTGATGCAAAATGTTTATCGTCTTAATTGCATCACCCAAAGGCTAAGCCAGAATAACTGACCGCATAACACTGGTTATTGTTATTGTACACCCGCCAGAAATCTAATTGTTCGACGTCAAAACCTGATGTACATTAACATATGACTAATGTATAAACACATGACTAACGTATGAAATGTACCCGAAAACCCTCATTGGTTGAAGTCTTATCTAACTGACAGAAGACATTGTGGTCATATTCATAGTAGCAACTCTGTATCTAAACCACAGTGATCGGTAGTAGGTCCACTTCTTTTCTTACTGTATGTACGTCCACTTGGGAAAATTATTCATAAACATGGTATCAGCTTAACACGTGACACAACTATATGGATTTATTTCGACGAGGGTTCTCTCGTCTTTTTCAAGCAACGAATGACAGAGAAAGTTTCAACTTTTGTTAAATTTAAATCGTTGTTAAAAACACGCTTGTTTAAATATTACTACAAGCTGTGATGTGACATTTGTTAAGCGCTTAGAAATATCACCGGATATAATGAAGCGCTATACATGTAGAAGATGAATAATAATAATAAATGGCCACTTCCAAGCATCATCAGTGGTGAGGTACTCCTGCAATGGGGAGAGAACAAACTGTAAATCGAACCGTTCCCAACATTAATTGTCTAACAGCGCTTACTGTAACTCTATATCTTGCGAACGAATGCGAAGTTGGCACTGCATCTCTTGGTGAACTTAGTGATTCTGATAATGAGCCCTGGTCAGAAGAATCCAATTCTAATCCAGAAGAGGAAGTTGGGTTAGCGTGTGCGCGTTGTATCATTGAGTCAACTGGCGTGGTTTCGATTCCTCGGGTGTACGTGACAAGCAGTAGGGTCCCCTGTCCAACCTCGAGGGGTTTTTCCGGGTCCTCCGGTTTCCTCCCACTGCTAAAGACCCCTACTCGCAAGCGAATTATTAAAATAAAGTAGAACCATTTGTTAGACCCAAAATGTCGAGTGGAAATTTAACCAGGTCGCCTCCAGCTTCTGATACATATAACCTTCCTCGCAACAGATTGAAGCCAGTGCCAAACTATTCATCCTTGTGAAAAAAAACACCAAGCCAAGAAGATCAACCAACTAAAATTCAACAACCAAGTAACCGTTTAAAACATCTCAGAACGGATATGTTACCAAAACTATTATCAATCTTAGCAAACGTAAACTCCTAATAGATGATCAGATCAATCTTCTATCATTCGAACACAAGTTTGTATCCACATCCGAACATAAAATCCATGAAGATTGTATAGCTAGTATTGAGAAATGACTATGCAAGTTAGGACCAGGAAGTAACTTCGACTGTAAGCTCGACCCCCATTCCTTACTTGACCACCTTAACACACACCATAAGTTCAACATGGAAACATAAAGAGACAATAGCTACGCCCCCCCCCCCCTTCTAGAACAACAAATTCCTTCAAACTCCATTTTATAGGAAACCAACCCACACTAAGCAGTATCACCATAACAAATCGAACCACCAATTTCAGACCAACCGTGCCCACAAGTATAAATAAAAACAAATTCCTTCAAACTCCATTTTATAGGAAACCAACCCACACTAAGCAGTATCACCATAACAAATCGGACCACCAATCTCAGACCAACCGTGCCCACAAAGTAAATAAAAACTCGTCAATTACACGTTGGCATCAGCATACCATTCAGTGACAGATAGTCCTACCAAATCAGACGAATATCGTACATATTAATAGTTGCAAGAATATAATTATGGTGTTGAGTGCTTTTATGGTTACTTACAATTTAATAATGCATGTAGGTTGCGCAAATTTGAGATTAAATTAGCTAAGTCTTTAACTCAATAGCATCCAAAGTCTTACACGTTAAAAACACGAACTATTTGTCAATTCAAATCAACATTGATGTTTTTATCTTACCGGGGGAAGGTAGGCTTCTAATATCCAATATTTAAGACAAAATATACATTTTACCATTGGTACACGAAAGAGCCAGGCTAGACATATTCCACAACTCATGCCATACGGCGACGCCATAACTTATCTGGAGAGCGTGCGCAATTGACTGGAATAACCAGACGCTAGAAATTTCTATTCGGTCGAGACTCATGCCGTATTTCGCTGGACCTAACTGATTTGAAATTAAGAGTCAAAACGGAAACAGTTGAATGTAAATCAGTTCATATACAATCAGATTACATTATTATATGCGTTGCAACCCATTTGCGTCAATTTCTGGGTCCTAAGTATTAGCGATTTAGCTCCTTTAACTTACATAAGGTGATTTTACAAACGTCGTGCATATTGAGGCTGGAAACCAAAACTATATCGTCCATAAAAAACGTGGATTGCGGTGAATTGTTTTCTTGGATTACTATGCACATACCCCATCACAAAAAGTCATTTTTTCCACAGGTCGGGGGGTCTCTTACCTGCCTATACCGATGAGAAACATTAGAAAATAAGATCAGTTATAGAGAAAATATTTTATTTACAAATGTATAATGTTCAAAGGAGAAGAATCCCTTTGGATTAAAGCCGCATAAGTTGTGTTCAATTGGGTTGACTGGTGCCCCGTTTAACTATGCGCATGTAAGGATAACGTTCACAGTTAAGTCGAATATACCATGCTAAGCGTATGTAACCTTGCCGACGCTTCGTGAAACTGGTTTCCATCTCGTTAGTTCAAGCAGGGAATGTGGAAAGTCTTGTAGAAATAATCTATCTTGGCCTTAAGTTTGTCTTCTATTTTTAACTTAAATTGTCGATTTGTAAAATGAAAATCGATTGTGTTCAACGTGCACTTATTCTACAGACGTAATGTATTAACATTTTCATCTCCAAAATACGTTTGATCAAATCAAAATTTCCATTTTTCAATTAAACCAAAAGGGTTCTTCCTGTTCAGTTTTGAAGTATGATTTGTGCATTTAAAAATTAGGACATATATATAAAAAAATACCTGGATATATACAATACAATGTCAAAGATAAAAAAATATTATAAACCTGAACAATGAACTTGTTAACATAAACTCTGCGTGTTATGTAAAATGTTAAAAGCATACTTAATAAATCAATGGATTACAGAATATGTATTAACAGTGGCATAAAACAATTTGTGCATATTTGATAAAGGATTGGAATATAACAAAAATTGACACATTAACAAACACAATAGTGTCGTATTACAAATTATTACGCAATGCATTTATACAAAAAAAAAAGTTACAATGTCATTGAAAAATTGAAAAACATAACTTAATTAATAAAAAAATATTCAGTACTGTTCAAACATGTTCTATTAATTACATGGATTTATAAACATTTTAAAGAACAGCATAAACAGAACGTATTTTGTAAATGTCAACCGCGTTAGCTTCTAATGTTTTGTAAATACATTGTGCAATATGTCCTCCCTGATACATTACATTAAACCATTTGTCATCCAACACTGTAAATTTCACAATATTTGCGAATTAACTACTAGCAATTACCAGTGGAAATAAATGCCATTAGTTTATTATATAACCCGTTATATCTTAAAATAATAAATTTACGATACCTGCTTTACAACAGTTAGTAATTACGGCACCTCTAATACATAAAGAAGATAGTGGAAATACGCCCACACAGCAGCTATCACTTGAAAGCAGCTTATCCATAAAGGAAAACTTGGATATTGACCAAATTTGATAAGGTTGATTTGACTTCAAGAAATCTGACCTCTATCGTGTTCATGTGGTTTTCGGGAAACTGTAGTTTCTATGGACGTATGGTTTGTAATTAGTAATGTTGTGTATTCTTTAAAATAGTTTAAAATGAACAGTATTAATATTTTACAGAAGTGGTGTTTGCACAAGAATCACACAAATGTACAATATAACTTCCTATATGAATGCTGCATATGGATGAAAAATTGGATCAGGTCTTCCTAGATAAAGCATTCCTTCGGCACAGCAGCTGCTTCAACATATAGCTAAGTAGCTGATAATTTAGAATTTTATGGTCCTTGATTTTAGTACAAAACTAAATTTCAAGAGGAAACTACTATTACTCTTGATAATGCTTAGTTCGTGCTAACGTATATACAATATATGAAATTAAAACTTTTTCAACAACAGATCTAAATCTGATATAGCACCTAAATGTGGAATGGCTTCTAGTACAACATCGGATAATTATAGATGAATAACTGCAATATCTGTTGGTTCTGGAAAAGAAGAAATAAATTGTTCCTGATAAGATTATTCAATATAATAGGTCTAACTAAATAAGAGTGGTGTCAGGTAGTAGTAGTAGCTGGTCGTTTAAGGTCTGCTTCCACAGTAGTGATATCGCTGACACGAAATTTGCTCCTATATTAGAATGTGATTTTGCAATCTTTCCATAGATCGACAACCGTCACTATTTATAGTAAAATGGGTCGATAGCCGCCACTATTTATAGCAAACTGGATAGGGTATCTATTTATATTCCTACATTGTTAATAATAACGATTATAGCGCTTTTCGAAATGTTATCTGGATTATCGTCCTCGGTGTTCTTAGCGTTTTTTGGGCGTTTTAACTTGTCAAACTATTGTCAAGTTCGTTGACATCATTTACAATTCTTCTTTCTATAATTCACCGCTAGGGCCTGACAAGGACAGCTGTCTAGTCGTTCGGATGGGACGAAAACCCCAAGTCCAGTGTACACATTGGCGTGCACGTAAAAGATCCCTTGAAAGTTGGAATTCGATATAAGAGTAGCCCGTAGTGCCGCTGTCCGGGCAAAATTTCCCTCATAGCACACTATATGGCGTATGCCCCTCTTCATTAGCCCAGTTCGGAGCAAAACAGTAGGACGCCATTCCATTTCATTTCATTCATCGTTAAGTTCTCCCTCTGTTCTTATGAAAACAAGGACGCACGTGTATGTCCTGACAGTTACATATTTTCAACACTAATGGCTTGAATTTTTGTCTCATTCCTCTGAACTGAATAGTATAAACCATTTTCTTTAATGTGATAACAATGAGATCCCTTGAAACACATAGTGACGTGCACTACTATAATACTACGTTTTGGAAATATGCCCCCTTTTCGTGAATTGTCTCCCTTATTGTTCGTTTATTTGAATTGCCTCCCTTGGTGTGCGATTAGTCAATGGGTATATTCCTTTGATTTGATAGACACGTTTGTTGTAGTGTCTGTGTATACTGTGTGTCTTGCCCTCGGGTTTATTTCATTGGTCTTTGTGTGGTGCGGTCCCCCTGCACTTACTATTATAGCTAGTCTAGACACCCTACACTATTTAAAACGAAAATAAAGTTTCCCTTATTATAAATGCTAATAAACAATTGCTATCTTTATTATTGTGAATCAAAATTAATTAATATTAAACGGTTTATTTATTCTGATTAATTACTGGGAACACCAAGAATACATAGAATTGAAACTACCTGTATAATTTAACTGCTGGCAGGCCTTGTCTACATTGGAAAATATCATTAAATCGGGTATCTCCGCCTTCTCTAAATCAACAGATATTGTGGACTGGAATGGAATTATATAAATACATGTATTTTACAACTTAGAATATAATAAATTTTAAAACCATTAAAATGAAATATGCACCTTCTACTGTGTAACTATGTATTACTGAAGGGGCCTAATTATAACTTGCTTACAGAACCTGGACAATAACGCCGTATAAAATGTCGGAAATGCATTGATTAAACCCCATTTCACCCCAAGTTTTTATTAACATCAACATAAAACCCGCTGTTTTAATGTGTTCACAATGCAACACTACGAACAACCAAAGTTCGATGGGTTCGATTAAACCATAAATAGTCATTACAAACTGTTTTTCTGGAGGTGTTTACAAGGAAGGTTTTACTAGTTTTAGGCGGTGGAAATAACACGTAAATAATCACAACATTCCAAATACTCATGGCGAAGCCATTACAGTTTGAAAACAATTCATAAATACATGTTTCAATGTAACCACTGCAACGAGTATAGAGGCAAGGGCAATAACACAGTAACTAAATTTTAAAGGGTTTACGATTATGATAATACTAGAATAAAAGTTACTTACATTTACGTTGGTTAAAACAACTTGTAACTGGAACCGATGTAAATCTGCCATTAATTTTTTTATGGACTGAAATTAAAATACATTTTGAAAATTAAACCAGCTTTAAGTCAAATGAAATGGCAGTCATTAATAGGCATTGTGTAAAAAAGGAAAAAATGATGAAATGAACTGAAATGAAATGGCACCTATCGTCCTACGCTCATCTTCGGTGCAAAAAAATAGGCCGTTAACACCATTCCATTTCGTTTCTTTTGTGTACACGGTACTGATACTATTTATAATGTGCATAACTAAATTAAAACTTAGAGATGATAATGATACTATTTATAATTTATAATATTAAAGCTTAGAGATAATGATACTATGTATAGTTTAAATAATATACTATTTATAATTTAAATAATGATACTATTTATAATTTATAAATCAAAATATATTAGAGATAATGATATTATAATTAAATTAAAACTTAGGAGATAATGAGACTATTTGTAATTTAAATAATTAAATTGAAATTTAATAATTGGATTAAAGAGAGAGAAAGAAATGGGGTTTAGCGTCCACTCGACACAAACTAGGTCATTTCGTGACAAACATATGGTTCTATTATATTTAACAAGATATATTTACCATTACAGCACTGTAATCTATTGTAGATATATGTTGGAAATCAAATATTACAGATTTGTTGTTCGTACCTAAAAAGTATAAAATTATTCACTTAAGGTCATTGGTAGTGTTTGTAAGGTTTATTTAACTCAATTGTTCGCCCTTTTATTTCTAAAACTACATGTAGTGCACAAAATGGGGGAAAAATCTGTTTGAACCCGGATTCATCTTCTTCTTGTTCATGGGGACGACTCTCTTCAAAGAAAAAAAACTAAAGGATCCGCCAATTTAAGTATCATCGACATGAAACTTGACCAACATCTTCCTTTCACAGGCGTGGATCGATCAACTGGCGGATTTCGATTTATAATCTGGCGTCCCCATTCCAAGATGGCTGTGATGACGACACACTCAGTTTCGTTACGCCCGTAGTTGTCTGATGAGTGTATTTTTTAAAGAGTTTGATCATTTTTAAGGACGAGATGATTCGTAACCACGGTATTTTGGGCAACTTTTTATTGTGACACTGTAAAAACTACAATGAATGTTTGGTAGAATAAATTATGAGCTAGGGTTAGGGGTAGTTCATAGAGTGTTTACGAATAACATTTTTCAATAACACGGTGATTATTTATAACTGTGTCCAGTTTATAAAATATGAATCAAGTTACCTGTCGTTGCTCGTTCTATGATTGTTTCACTAATATATTCTGCTGACGGAAACCTCATGCCTTGATCTGGCTGTACAACCAATATATCTTCCTGGGTCGTGTACTATAACATGTGAATAATTTAGTTATATTTTCATTTTAGTATATTTTGTAAACATACGCATCTTTTAGTCGAACAATTGCACATACTATATGTAAATGAAAATATTGTTTCCAAATGTATAAATGTCATATTACATGCAATCTTTATTAAATATTTTTGTCATTAGAATAACTGCTTTAGTTTTGATACTGAGATATACAACCTACCTTGATTCTTGGTCTTGCTAATGGATAAAGAACCATTAATATTGATAAACCAACACCAACCAATATACCATACTGTAACAAAAAATAGAGCGATAAATTAACGATTTCTCAACCTTTCACCGAGGGGATCACGTGGCTAAGTGGGTAAGACGCTGGCTCGCTAGCCTGGAGGTCGGGTGTTCGATCCCTGCATTGGCCGAGAAAGTTCATCCAGATTTTTTCTGGCGTGGTTCTCCCTTGTCAGTGATGCAGGACGGAGGGGCTGACAAGGAAAGCTGTCTAGTCGTTCGGATGGGACGAAAAACCGAGGTCCCGTGTACACATTGGCGGGCAAAATTTCCCTCATAGCACACTGTATGGCGTATGCCCGTCTTCATTAGCCCAGGTTAGGAGCAGAACAGTAGGACGTTAAACCCCATTTCATTTCATTTCATTTCATTTAATTTCACCTTTCACCGATGTCATATTTGAATTATAACTGATAGTATGTACCTGTCGTTTACGTTACAGTAACGCTTTAACAACTGGAAACTGTGTTTTATTTAGTATTTTCGAGAGGCAGTGATTATTGAAACATAATTATACTGCAGAGTCCAGCGATTCAAACTCGTGTTCGACTTAAGTCGCATCAAAGACCTGATTTGCTTCTTGACTCAATCGACTTAAATTATTTATCATGATTCACAGTCACAACAATAATCGCTGTATAACAACATATTTCAGTACATGCTTTACGGATAATAACCTAAATCTCCGATGCTGTTAGTTTCGAGTAAACAAGACTGGCAAAATTGAATTGTTGACTCTTTTGATGAACTGGGAATTGGGCTTTGTGAAGGTCCCACTACTTGTTCACACTTGAACACAGGGGGTCTGGGCTGGAGACATTGTCAACTTTGGTGTGATCTAGGGTAATACCCGAAAATTTGATAAAATTTCTGAGAAATTATTTCTACTCATGTAGGTGCATACATGTATAGGATTAGAAATTTTGCCATTGTAACTTCCTAAAAAGAAATGTGCCTTTTTCGTGACAAAAAACATTAGACACACACCTCTGTCAAATGGATCAGTAACGAGAGTTTCCCTTACCTCTATTCCAATCACTAATGATGATATGAAGGTGATTAATAATAAACCCAAATCCAATTCTGTAAAATAGAAATATAAAAATTCTAGGGCATTTTATTTAAATTATAGGACACAGCACAAGGTTACATGACACTTCAAATTACGTAGCCACAACGCTGTAATTATTGACCAACAGCTAATACACGAACACACCAAGACACGTCATTCGAAACGTTAAAGATGCATTATGTAAGATTTAGATAAAGAGCTGACCGTTCTTGCTATAATAGTTCAAAAATAGATAATGCAAAATGAATATATTGAAAACTGCATTCAAATTACTTTATTCTGAGGGAAGATATTACTCCATTGAAGGTTTGACAAGATGTGTACACTGATTGTAACCACCGTACTGTTTGTTCGACGCGTAGCCTCACTTCACCATTGTTAAATTAAATCATTAATTGGCCGAATCGTTCTAATCTACTTAAAATCGGACCCATCCGTTGGCATCGAGACTTGATTATAGTCCTGTCGTGTTAATAAATGTATAATTAATATTTTATATAACATTTAAGGCCTAAAGAAAGACCTGCAGTAGACAGATTTTGTTCTTGCATAATGTATGTTTAACGTAAACATAACACAAATCAGACAACGTTAAAATTAAATGTATACAAGGTTAATTTAAAAGAATTATTGCAAAATATTAAATAAGGTAATTCTACAGCCACTCACATCTCTCCGTAAATGAAATAGAACAATAAATGCAGCTGGATAACAATATACTTACTATTGGCTTTCCATAATATCAATATTATTTTATAATCAATCATCTGTAAGACAGCTGATATAATGACTGCAGCCAAGGCAGCGTTAGGTATATAGTAGAATAAAGGTGTTAAAACATACAGCGACAGTAAAACCAAAGCGCCTACAATTAAAAACATTTTACAAATCTTACCATCTTTATTTTACCATTTTTAATTTATGTAAACACGAAGTATTTGGGTTATTGCAGGGTCTTCGGTTTTGGTCTAAACACAAGGAATATGAAAAATATTAATCTACAAAACCTACATGATAGATAAATAGGTAACTTACCTGTAACAACCCCCGACAATGGTGTTCTAACACCACTTTGAGAATTTACAGCAGTTCTACGAAAAAAAATTGAATTAAAAATTAAATAGAGTCTAATATATTTTTATAGTATAAAAATAAATAGGCCAAATTGTTTTAGGGCGTTGGGTAGTAATAACATGAGCAATTGAAAGGTTTGTCCAGAAATAACAAGTCGTAAATATCTCTTGAAATGAAATCAAATTGAATCTAACCTCCTACTTTTCTGTACCAACTGGGTTCATGACCGGCATACGCCATACAATGTGCTATGACGGAAATTTTATTTCTAATTCCAACTGTAAAGTGTTCTTTTACCGGTACGCCAATGTGTACACGGGGCCTCGGTTTTTTGTCACATCCAAACGACTAAAAAATGCCTAAATTTCTAGGACAACACTGGGAGAGAACCCGCAACCTCCTGCTTTGCGAGCCAGCATCTTATTCCCTGAACCACCGCGACCTCCACAGATGTCTCTTACTAGTGTCTTCTAGTGTATGAATTTAGATATTTAGATGACTAACCTTGAGAAACTACCAGTAATAGGATAAGAAGAACAAAAACAGCTGATAATATTAGCTACACCTGAAAGTTGAATTACGAAATAAAAAATAGTACATATTTTGTTGCTTTAAATTCTAATTAAAACATATTGATGATCTGAATGTTATTTGCAAAGTTTAAGAAGCAAATATTAATTATATTAATAAACAATCATATATTTTGAAAATGTAAATTTAGACAGTACCTATTGCAATAAGTTCTTGTGTAGGATTAATTCTATAGTTATTTTGTCTGGCTGAAAATATTTAAAAGAATCATGTAGAATACAAAATATCAAATGAAAATTGCATCTGATAATCATTTCCTGGAAATGTTGACAATGGTTCGCTTTCTTAGGTGGGCTTTAGTAAAAAGAGTTATGTCCCGTTTATTAAAGATACAGTGTGGAAGATTAGATAAAGGGCTGGTAGTTCTCGCTATAATAGGTAAAAACTAGATGATGTAAAGGGGATATGCGGGAAATTTCAGTCAAATTGCTTCCCTCTAAGCCGAGAAAACCTTATTTTAAAATCTTTGTAGCCTCGATTGTCATTGTTAGCGCTGTCACGATAATTAACAGTCTCGATTATCCACTTTTGCGTTTAACCATCAGCGGACGTTGAACAGCAGATCGGATTCAAATCCAATCTAAAAATCGGACAGATAACATGGGATCGAAAGTTGATTATGGTCTTTCGTGTTATAAATGTCTAATTAATAGTTTATATAACATTTCAGGTCTAAAGAAAAACCTGCAATAGGCAGAATTACCTCTTGCATAATGTATGTTTATAACGTAATTAAGAATTATGTTTAAATTCTAAATATTTTGTTCACGTTCCGAATAAAGGAAAATAAGTCTTAACAATAAATTAACATACCAAATACTTTTGCTATGGCTATTGTTTCTATGAGCCCCAGTAAGGGTACAATTCCAAGTCCTGCTCCTATTTTCTGAAGAATCAAAAATACAGCATGATATTTAATAGAATTTAATAAATCAAGCAATTTTACATATAACGTGAAATATTAGACAGTGACGACTGATTAAATTACTTGACATAATTAATGAATATCGTTTAAAAACCGTCTTGTTAACAAAATACTTCAGTCATTGTGATTCTACCATAAGACTATTTCTCCTATGTTTACATTGCTAGTTGCCTGACAGAGAGGCGTTTCCGGTTACTCCCATATCTAACCATCCGGGAGATGATACATGCAAGTAAATTAATGTACGAGTAGTAGACCTCGGATTTTCCAATAATCAAAAGGTTCTTCGCGGAGTTCTAGCTGAGGGTCCATTCATTACACTAGGAAGTAATCTCTCAGTATATATTTTACTTTCATATAAATAGAAATACGTTATTAATTTATAGAAAAAATACACCGATTGTCGTGGCTCCAGATAAGTGTATGGTCATATGAATGTTAACTGAACTGAAACCCTATTTATCAACCTAATGGTTCATATTCGCCCGGTTTAAAGAATTACAGTGTGTCGCACGCCATATTTATCCACGATGATTTGTTATTGGTTACTTGCATTGATTGTTTTATTTTTGAATGAATAGTTTTACTAACCGTAAAGATTTCACCGGCACTTTGTGTGATATTTCCACTTTCAAGAGTAAAATCGGGAACTCTAAAAGGGGGTAATCCAGCTTTAAGTTCACCAGTTATAGACAGTTTATCTTTAATATTTAAACCAATTAGGCCAGCCGCTACCCCTGCTGCCGATATTACTATTACTGCATTAGCTCCTAAAATATAAATATATTAATACATTACTGTCGCTGTCAAATATAACCGGCAAAATAATTGTTTAGCTAATGGTGCGGCCAAATTTCCAAATTTCTGACTGTAATACCCTTACGCCATGACATCCACCTAATGGGGAATCTGGGTGGAACATTTTTCTTCTGACAACGGACGTAAATTTTGTGTAAGACAGAAAAAAGATTCCCGATCAATTTAGTATTTGAGTAGCCTTGATTTTGGAGAATTAGTCATCGGTCAGGGACTCAGCAGATGTGAACATAAAATCTCAATTAAGAAATATGTTTCATACCCTGCACATCCAAAGTTGTGTTTAAGTTTTAAATCTGTTCTGGTTAAAAGACTATATTGTTGTTAATAATGTATATTCATGTCCCTGCATTGCTTGCCCGAATAATGGAGTCGTTATTTTGTGGCTAAGTGGGTAAGACGCTGGTTTGCTAGCCTGCAGGTCGGATGTTCGATCCCTGCATTGGCCGAGAAAGTTCATCCAGATTTTCCGGCGTGGTTTCCCCTAGTCAGTGATGCAGGACGGAGGGCCTGACAAGGACAGCTGTCTAGTCGTTCGGATGGGACGAAAAACCGAGGTCCCGTGTACATATTGGCGTGCACGTAAAAGATCCCTTGGCAGTTGGAATTCGATATAAGAGTAGGCCGTAGCGCCGCTGCCCGGGCAAAATTTCCCTCATAGCACACTGTATGCCGTATGTCCGTCTTCATTAGCCCAGTTTAGGAGCAGAACAGTAGGACGTTAACCCCCATTTCATTTCATTTCATTTCATTTCGTTATTTCTTTCTTTTCTATTACCATGTAATTCCAACGGTGTTGATCTGTTGAAGTTTGGGGCGGAGATGACAACACGGATTTTTCCAAAAGTTATAACTCACCGGATACGATTTAGATCGTTTCAGAAAAACTGTGGAATACTTTTAACCAACAATCTATCAATGAGTCGACTAATCGTTCTAAAATTGGGCGTTTGTATGAAATCTAATTAATTATTTCTTTGATAATGATTCTCTACTAACCTGTGCCAAAGAGCCATAAAAATTTCCTGGCAATTCTTTTGTATAATTTCACATCATCAGGGTTCTCGTCCTTCCATTGCAAAGTTCGTAATTTCTGTACATATAAGACGAATTAAATTAATATCTTTATTTCAGATAATCTGTAAGCCAGTGAACATTTTAAGTTGGTGCCACTTTATATATGGATACCTGAATAAATTACTTGAATCATAGAATCTTTTTTATTATATATTTTAATAAATTACTCTGACTGTTTATAACTAACTATACCAAATTAAGCCAAGGAATAATAAACGTAAGAATTTTAAGATTCTAATATTATATAAAAAATATACATATAATATATTCTATTTCTATAAAGAAGGAAAACTGGTAGATGATTGTTTAATGAAAGGCTTAACACGGAATTGATTAGCCGAATAGTAATACAAATAAATTATTACCTTGAAAAAAAATAATAGAAATAAACATGTTAACCCTAATGTCATGTCCCAAATTCTGAAAATAAATGAATTATATTACAGCAATGCGGAAATAACATCAAAAAGACAAATTCATGTTTAAGTGTTTAATTTGATTTAATTGATTAGTGATATAATTAGATTATAATTAATTGTGTGTAAAACTTTAAGTTGATAAGTAAGTACTATAGACGTTAAATACCTTGTTTCACCGATATGGGCAAATATGTCATAAACCATATGTAAAAATTCTCGGGATATATTTTTCAGACCAAAAATGTGCTGAAATGATAATTGAAAAAGAAACACTGTTATACACAAATATTTTGACTAACAAACTAATCAGGGCTGCAATTTATTTTTTAAACACAATCAACGAAGCATCACTGCCCAGCAAATGATAGGTAATTTAGAAAAGAGCAAAACACTATTTTAACTTCAATGTACTGACAGAAGAATTGGGGTAATGGATTTTACAAAGGAAGTTAATATCCATAGGGGTCCGTAACGTACATTAGCTGTCCAGTAAAATGATCGTTGTACGTGTGCATTCGTTTTACATATTATGCTTTCTTCACCTGCAGATCATAATGTTAATAAAGTAGATTCTGGATCTTCACTAAATTCAATCGTTTAGGCTGCCCACTTAAAAGATATTATTATAGAGACCTTTGTTAAAGTTGTGAGAGCCATGGCTATATATTTAGACACAATGAGGCCATTAAAACGTTAACGAATTGTGATATATTAATATAATGTCATCTTACTTTCAGCTGACTAAACGCTATCGTAATGGCTGCCGCTGAGGTAAAGGCGTTGATAACAGGATAAGAAATAAAGTTGACAATTATCCCTGCAATAAAAAAGTCTTTCATTTCATTTCCAACAGACAATTTCAGAATTTGTTCCGGAAATCCGGATTGCAAATAAATATTGGCAAAACATTTTGTTTAATTGAAAACAAAAGACATTTTTGACTATTTTACATATTACGTATCCTGTATTTCGTAAAGCGCGCTTTCCGAGTAACATGCAGACCCGCCGAGAGCATTTTATGTGCCGGAGCAAGACAGTCCCACCCCCTACATACACCTGTACAAGGACCTTAAAGCCATACGCAAAAATAGGGTTTCTAACTTTACCCACGCATAAACAGAGTAGAACATCGGGAATTGGGTCAGGGGCTCTGCTGCACGAATACCGACCATATCCACCTAAACAAAATATGGGCCCCGCAGATATGTCTGTCTCCACGCCTTACCCCCACCCCCATCCCCCACCCCACTATCCCTGGGTCTGGTTACTTTTATGTGTATATGACAAACGTCAATTAAAAGAAAAGAAATGAATTCGTTCAAAATGTTTCTAAATTAACGCCCTTGTCATACATTCGAATTTATTTGTTCGAACATACATTTCGTCAGCTTCATGTCGAGTTTTATTATAATTTATGTTTTAAAATCTTTCGAAAATCTCTCTTCGGTAGTTCTATGTTATTTCTGTTGTCTATTATTTTAACTTTTTGTCTGAAAGGTCCACTTGTAATATAAAATATTTTTAAATGTCATCAATTGATATATTGTCATATCATGATGTTGCTAAATGTTAGTTAGCCCAGGGTGTCATAATATATGTCAAGGAGAGACGGAAAAAGTGAAAATTTTAACAAGGACACAAATCATTCCACGGATCAACAATTTGGAGACATTATTCTGGCAAGCTGTAAAACATGCTTCAATTTGACCGTCTCTCCTTGACATGTATAATATGACCCTTTGCGCTAAATCAGGGGCGTGTGGCGAAATTTGAGTAGACGGGTTTCCGGGACGAAGACAACGTAACGTTTGTCGTGAGAAATGGGGGATTACCCGGGAATTTTATGTATAGGATTAGAATGAAATGAGGCCAAAATATTTAACAACCTCCTAATATACACAATCCATACCTGTTCCCCAAGCCCTTTCAATAAAATATTGTTTTGAAAAAAAACGGTGGATCATTGCGATATCTGGTGTTTTGTGAACCAGGTAACTATAGAAAACAATAACTGTATAAGAAATGCGCTGAATTGTGAAGTAACACTACTTAAAGTGGCATTAAGTAGGATTTAGACAAATAGCTGACCGTTCTTGCTATAATAATTCAAAAATAGATAATGAAAAGGGAATCTATTGGAAATTTCATTCAAATTACTTTATTTTGGCGGTTTGGGGTTTGACAAGAAATTGCCGATCCTCAAGTATATTGCCGTGACAACGAACGAAAGCTCGAGTGTCCGCCCTTTTATTAAGTGACGTACCGATTATATGGCGTGGGTGGTTTGATGCATCCAATAACGTCTAAATAATAATTTACATAACACTTGAAGCTAAGAAAGCTAATAAAAAAATACTTGTAATATACAGAGTTCGCTCTTACATTATGCATCTTTAAAAACTGTGCATTGAAAATAAAAATCTGCCGGATAAGATGTCGGTGTCCATAACAATAGTAGATACAAACGACAATCTCGTTCTTATTGTTTGGTTACAAGCTTGAAAATTTGTCTTCACTTTTTTGAGGAAGCGTAACGAATAGTTTTAACAAATTTAAAAAGACATAGTGCGCTGTCGTACCTGGTGCATGTTAAGTTTTGTTAAAGTGTAATAATATAGCATGTTTTGTAACTACGTGAAACCAGTTTTAACATTAATTTAAAACTGAATGAAAGGTGGATCAACGTTAATTAGGTGCTGAATTTCAAAATTATCGAGATATATAATTTCATGATGTGTAGTGAAGTTTTAATTCTGGTATCAACTGCATTCTGTGTATATGCATTACGACGGAGAAAAACAATCTGCCTGTCATACAGCAGAATTACTCAAGCCTACAAACGTCTAGAGTATTGCATCAATCAAGTCAATAAAATTACTTAAAATGGGTTTAAGTGATGATGGTGTACAGCCTTGCCTCGCGAAATAACCTAATTTGGTTCGAGTGGATGTTAAACCCAACTGTTTCTGCAAACAATATGAAATTACAATATGGTTCATAGATAGGCTGGATGTCATGTTTATGAAACGTTAAATATGCAACATTTACCTAAATTTAACAATCCCATTAATAACTGGACACATCCGCTCATCAATGTAAGAATAATGGCATACGTGGCGTCACCTTCTACAGGTGATACTGCAAATGTTCCTGTCATCAGTGACATGATAGCAGTTGGCCCTAGTGTTATATCTTTAGAGGTTCCAAGAAAACAATATACAAAACATCCCATAAACGCTGAATATAAGCCATACTGAAAAAGAGAATAAAATATTATCAAAATAAAATAATCATGCTCCAAGTTATTGGTTGCTTTTATATCGATGAGTTACACTGGCAAATGTTTTTGAGTTTTGCTTTTGCTGCGGGAAATATTGGAATGTTTTTTGGTCGATAAATGAATCATATTGTAGTGCAGAAAATTACCTTAAATTGATAACATATATTCAAATAAATAGGCCCACTGTATATACCTTAGCATCATGGCAACATCAACAAACAATAAACATTGCAGCAATCGAAAGTAGGTATAGATGTAAGGTAAATGAATTTAATGAATGACCGGGTATAGAACGTTTAAAGCCGATGACCGAGAGAGAGAGGGGGGGGGGTTAAAGTTCATTCGACACAAACTAGGTCATTTCAAGACTAACATCTGATTCAATTCTATAATTCGCTTGCGCGTAGGGGTCTTTAGTAGTGCGACGAAATCGGAGGACGTACAAGCAGGGAATCGAAAGCACGCCGCTTGACTCATTGACAGACCTTATGATCCAACGCGCACTCGTTAACCCCCCCCCCACACACACACACACACGCCCTCGTATTCAAACTGAATTTGTTAACAATCAGTTAAAAAAACAAAACTTGCAAATTCCCTCGCATGACCATCAGTGGCTTTAAAATGTATGATTTTGACTCCTCAATAGATATCCGCGTTTCAGCAATAGTTGACCATGAACTATATTATTTAGTATCTTATCAGTCCACAAAATTAGATCTATTTTCTATTAAATAAAATCTTGTTTATTAAATTATTACCATGTTTATTTTATATCTGTAAAATATCTGGATCGCTAAGCAAATCACGTTATTCGACTATATGGTCAACATTACAACGATATTCAACCCTCTCAAAGTTCCATCTATAGTTTTTGTGTGTATTTTTTATGCTATCAATTTCTAAGTATCTTTTCGGAAAAGTAAAAGAAAAATAGAATAAAAAGCCCCTTTTTGGTGGGAAAGATTTGTCGCAACGGTTCGAATTTGTGACGCAGTTAGGAATGTGTACCGGTAGGACGGTGTATACAATTACACGCAAAAAAGATTCAGGGTAAGGGGTCAAGGGCCCCTCTCCATTCTTCCATTTCTTCTCCTTTGGATGGCATTCGCCTTGGTCGCTTCCCTGCAAAGACATTGTGTCTTACCCCAATCAAGCTGGATCAAGCCTATTTTGTGGCTTCCTCTGACAAGTTTCCTAGAAACACTTGTCTACGATATCACCCTTGGTGGAAGTGGGTGTACAACTCCAGGAACGAACGAATGAGTCAAGGAAGGTTATCAGACTGCACCTGCATCCTAGAACAGTTCAGTCAATTTATGCTTTTACCCCCAAAAAATTGCAAGAAAACGCTTTTATGCATTTTTGTGTTTATTTAGGTGTCCTATAAAAAATCAAAAGAGTTTACCAAATTTTGCGCACAAAAAAGCGGCAAAATCCAAGATGGTCGACATTTGCCTAATCAATGTACAAGAAAACTCTAAACTGTGGGTTTAAGGCCCTATAAATGTATTATGAATGTATAAATAAATTAATGTGTTTGGGGCATTTTAAGATATAGTCAGGAATGTTACTGGTCCCTTAAAGCGGTAAAAATAAGTAAAGTCCAAGATGGCCGACATTAGCTAAATCAATGTACAAGTAAATCTTAAACTTTTGGTTTAAGACTCGATAATTGTAATATGAACATGTAAATTCGCGTATTTTTGGGCAATTCTTTCATTTTAAGATATATTCTGTGTTGTTAACTCGTCCCTTAAAGCCGTAAAATCTTTAAAATCCAAGATGGCTGATATTTGCCTAACCATTGTGCACGAAACATTTGGTTTTTAAGACCATATTAATGTACATGTATTATGTATATATAAATTAATGCTTTTGGGGTTATTCTTTCATATAAAGATAACTATGTACCTTATACCTTTTTAGTGCCCCCCCCCCTCCACACACACAATCTGCGACCGAGGGCCTAAATTTACGAATAGGCTTTACCCTATCTGAAGTAAGGTGTTTGGGGACAATATTTTATATTAATATCACCGTGCAAGAGGGCGATTTGTTTTAGTTTAGTACCTCAAATAACCCGAAAAAGTGTTGGTAAACTTAAGATTCATAATTTCTAAAATTTAACTAGTTGTACAATATGATACATGAAAAAAACTCCATTAACATTATAGAACAATACTATCTCGTATTTTAAACTTCTGGCTTTACCATATGCCATACAAATTACGTCATAAATGAAATGGGATTTGGCATGTAAACTTCCAAGAATTATTACACAGTGGGGTTCCCAAACAATAGAATAGAAATGAAAAAGCCACATCCTTATGTCCATGACACTAAGTAAACGCCCCCTTGAAACAAAGTTCCTAAGGTCCAGTCCCAAAAAATTAAAAGCTCAGTTATTATAAGTCGATTCTATTGTTTTGCTATTTTTCCACTCCTCTAGGTCTGATACTATCTATCACTAACACATTCGCGGTTATAGTGAATCCCCAAGTAGTACCACTAGTGAGTGGGTCGCGGCGCGACAGACTGTATAAATGTTCTGTCAACTCTCACAAGAATTTGCTGTCACCAATGAACTCAAATGACAGGAAATTGACTAAACTTTTCAGGCCCAGTCCCAATTATCTACATACACTTACAGAAACGCGGATAACCGACTAGTACCCTATGCTACTAAGTCGGATAGACCTAAATGACTAACGTATCAAGTACAATCACATATTTATATGAAATTACTTCTAATCTCTTGGCTAGATCAAGTGTTGACATAAATAAGCATTGATGTAATAATTTTACAATATTTTATAAGACATAAACAATGGTAAATAAAACAATTACTAGATTAATTATACGATTAGTATGTTCACGATACAGGCTATATTGTCAGTTACTTTCTTTCTATAACAGTTTTATAAACAATAAGGGATTATAATAAATTAACATGTCATTAGAATTACGTAACATTTCACCCTTGGCTATAGTCACACGCAATATTTTGAAGAAATATAATAATTATTGTCCTTAGAGTTTACATGTATACAGAATTCAATTTGATGACTATCCTTTTTAAAATTAAAGTATTATCTGAAATATTCTAGATTTAAAAATAACTACTATAACCAGCACGGTTATAGTATCATTCTTCCACTCCTCTGTGGTCTGGGTCGTGAGGCGATAGACTGTAATACTGTCAATTCTTAAAAAAACAGAGAGACTTGAAGGAAGATTCGAGATTTTGTCCCATTGACTGCCATTTCTGGTCCTCTCGTTCACAAGAATTTGCTCCCAGCAATGATCTCAAAAGCCAGGATATTGACTCAAATTTTCCAATTTTTTTCTCCCCTTCGGGTTACCCAGTGTTATAGCCACTACCCCTAAGGTTTACAAAAAAATTAATAACAAAACCAATAAAAATCATAACATGACATGAACTTTATGTCAACTTGAATAAAATTAATTTCTTGATCTGCTACTGGCCTTACCGTTATATAAGCAGCAAACTGAGATTGGCACTTGTTTTTGCAAAAGTTGCTCAGTTAATGAAATGTAACCTCATGTGTCTTAGAAATGATATATATGGGAATGCATCATTCTTCATTCTATGAAGAACAAATTGGTAAATAATTTCTTGCACGTCTATATGATTGTCCGGCTTCACCCATCTTCCATGTCATCAGGTTATTGTGGGTAGGGACACAAAAACATATACATACCAAATATGCCAGTAAGTAATGAAGAAGTGCAGAGTTCCAAATATAAGTTAATTTGGGTTCGCGTCAATATGTTTTGGGGTGGGGGATTCCCTGGAAATGGTATTATAACACCACAGGACATATCTACTAATGAAAGAATGACCCCAAAAACGTTAATTTAGAGACCAAAATTGCTATTTTATGATAACACAGTGCAGAGTTATGCCCCTTTATATGCCCCCTTTTTTTTCATAAATTGACTGGACTAGAAATCGGGATAGTAATTGTATCTTGCTTTGATCACAACCCTTGTGGAAGAAACGCATATATATTACATTACTTGAGGATTATCCAACAACAGGGACATATTGTTATACAAAGGTGCGCTGGGTATACATTTCACACAAATGAAAACAGTTATTAACATGTTACTGGGGTTTTAAAAATGTGAAATAAAAAAAAAAACGTTTATGAATGTATCCAGATTTCATAATGTCACTTTGTTTACCTATCTAAAACAAAACATATATCAAAAAGTCCCATTTATGTATTTCAAATGCGTCAACATGTCGAAATGTTATTTATGACTAAAACCAGCGCAGGACATGACCAATATTGGTGATTTATGACAACAACGGAATTATACCCAGAACATACGTAGTACATAATTTACTCTTCAAAAAAAGTAGTGGATATTCGAAACAATACAAAACTGTGGAAATGCACTGCTGTTTTATTAGAGGTAACCAGTGTATGTAAATAACAGGCCAATTGCCTACACATGAACATAAACAGTTCATATTGGCGGCTCATCTGACGGCCCCATTTCACTCGCAAAGAGATACACTGTCAAAAATGAAAATGGATGTTTTTGATTTTTGTCTAATAATGAGTTATTGCTCCACCAATCCTCAGACATTCAGCAATTCCTCGTGGCGTGCTCCTAATCAACCGTCCAATCACGATTTGGGGTAATCTGACCCACTCCTCTTGCAGTGCCACGGCCAATTCTTGTCGTGTTGTCGGTTGACGTTGACGTCGACGAACACGTCTCCCGATCAAATTAAACGTAACACACTAAAGCAAGGATACGCCAAACAGTAAATCTTATGCAAGAACCGATAGGAAAGCAAACATGGATAGGATAAACCAGCAAGCGGCAGTTTTCATCAACCCTTCCTTGAAGTGTCAAATTTGACAATGAACCCCCTCCCACGTGTATGGCGCTATTGCGTGTCGCACATGCAGCTCAGTGGTTCTGTTGGGGCGATAAGTTCTTCAACTGTGAACATACTCTCAAAGCATGTAAAGTGTCCATGACTATTTATCATATCACAACCTGCATAGGTATTTGCATTTCAATATCCCCTTACTTTTTTGAAGAGTATATATAGTATCCATAACCCCCAAAAGTCTCCATTTTTATGGTTTCTAGAATTAGACAAGTATCAGTGATTATATTTTAGTGTTGTCATACGTAATAGGATATTAGGGTTTGATATGACATTTCGGGTATTTCTTGTTTTGGATTAAATGAACTTACGAATAAAATCCCCTATATTCTCGGTTCCTCATCCACTAGGAAGATTATCCACAGGTCATCTAGTAAATAGAACGAGGAAGTTCTATATGGTGCTCTATTTTAGCCACTTCACACAAGGGCGACGTAGCAATTCACACTGCTAAGTTATGACTATTTTTGTAAGTTATTGTATCAACACGAACTCGGCCCTCGCGTCGCGAATCGCACCCACCCTTTATAAATGGAATTTCATTGATTGTGTAAGCATGACGAAGGAGGAGGCTTCAGTTTAGGAGAATCAAAACTTTTGAATACTTCGTAAGCACCTTGCATTTAGCGTAATCCACACACTTGCTATGATATGATTCATATAGCACTAGTAGGGATAAGCTATCAGTGTACTGGTCATGAGCAAGTATAACACAACAAAGTTCTTATACATATCGATTGTTACAGAAAGAATTCTTCTCTTCCACCACCACACGACCAATATTATCGATGGTTTAAGGTTATAGTTTACACGTGAACTTCAGGAATTAAAGATACGTCTCAGAATGTAACCTAAAGGCAGCGTCAACCATAACAATTACAAGAAATTGTAGCAAACTTATTTATATACGAAACAGTATGTTGTTGTTCAAGGACACTGAAAATGTAACGCACGATGAGGGAAGTGAATAGAACCTCATATTATAAATAGCAACCTGGGTATCGATTTATTTTTCGTTTGCATTTGGAAAATTTTTATGATGGGGCGTAAAGTAAATATAATATATATCCTTCATTCCTCGCGATCTTGATGTATATCCGGCGCCTGTCTCCTAAATTCATCGAAACCTTTTGGCCTTACTCCACTTTACTATAATACAATACATATAATACAATACCCTAAATGGGTAGAAATATAATCTCAGAGCTCCTGATTTTATAAAATTTAGGGTAATCCCCCAAACCTCACGTCAACCGTGTCGTTGTCTCCACCTTGGACCCTCAAATTACTGAATACGCCCCTGAATATATGAAGGAAGTAGAAGCTCTGGTTTCCATTTGAATGTCTCATTCTCCTCGAAAGCTGTTTCACCCCATTCGGCGCCATGGGCATTGTAAAAAATCTGGCTTTCTTTACTATTCAAACATTTGTAAAGCAGGCTACCGTAATTAGCATTGTCAAAGATCTAGTTTTCTTTACTATTCAAATATTTTAAAAGCAGGTTACAGTAATCTGTGGGGATCTGCGAACATTCTGTATGAAATTTGGCATTATATACATAATTTATGGTGAATGTTGATATATCGGACATCCGATATAACAAACTATCTTGAATGACAAAACCTGAAATATGCTAAAATGATCAAGGAACTAGTTTCATATAATATATAGGTCTTGGAATACTTGCCTGTGGTGGCAAACCAGCTATTTTAGCATAAGCTAAACCTTGAGGAATGACTGTTAACCCAACAGTTAAACCAGCTATAACATCACTCTGTACATCTGTTAAACTGTAAGAAAATCAACACATCATCAAATCTGGGTTTCTAATATTTACGGGCGTGACAGAATAGTGGAAACGTGAATTTCATTGTGAGTCGGATCTAGAGCCTACGTCCAGCACCACTGCTATATGGGAAACCACACTGGATCGAACCCGGGGCCTTTTGGTTAATGAGCCAACCGAGCCACTTTGGAGGGGTATGTTTGATTGAAGTCATTCCAGACAAATCCGAATGGATTCGTTTTGAAATTTGTCTCTGCAAATTTTATCTCGGGTAAAATTGGAATCCGTCCCTGATTCAACACTACGAATATGAAGTACGAGATGTTAAAATCCAAGATGTACAATACAAAAACCTCAAAATATAAAAACATAGAAAGGAATCCTGATTCGGATACTGAGCAACGTTAGAAGAATGGCCTATAGCTGTTACAAAATATCGCTCCAGAATCGATATGTAATAGGGATTCTAATATACCTGTATTTGGGAAGCCATTTTAAAATGGGAAGTCTATTTTTTAGTGTTTCAACCGAACAAACACCGTGTCCATATTTTTTCACTTTATCACAGAATTTATCAGTTGTTGGTACCGCGGATTCAGGTTGAACTTGAAACGAGATGGAATGTCCATTTGACCCAGGCCGGAATTCTTTCTGAAATAAAAGGAGAAAACATAAAACATAAATTTTGGGGGATGAAAGAATTTGCAAAAGGGCATTTAAATAACCTGATATAATGTGGTAGCACTTTGGGGGAGTTTACAATATTTCAGTTGGCAATATCTAACCATTGTATGGAGAAATGTCCTCTTTGAATAACACCAGTTCTACTCGTTCCTAAGAGTGCACGATCGTCCCTAGATATCCCCCAAAAGGACAGCGATAGAATGATATAAATTCCTGTTCATCGTGCCGATGGTCCCACCCACCGACTAATTTCCGTATCGTTAACACGTTACACCTGCCTGCATACAAATAGAAATTATGTTATGTGACATTTAAGTGTATTTTATTTTTCCTTCATTTTCTGATCATTGGTCGACTATTTGTCGTTTACTGAAGACCATTAGGGCCAATCAAATGAAAAGAAATATTCTAATTATCTTGTAATTACGGGGACGCCAATTAGGGTCAATCACACGAAAATAAGTATTCTAACTAATTTATTCCCACTTGGCTTCTCTAGTCATTATCAAGCTATGATAAAAAATGAAAATATGACAGGACAATATATACATGTACACCACAATGCTAAGTTAATGATGACAAACCAGGGATGTAACTTAATTACGTGTACCTAATGGTAATCTGATTTAATTGTACGCTAATAAGTAATAATACCAATTAACCTAAAAAATTGACTAATTGATTAATGGATAAGTTGTTGTGGAGTATACACAATGATTAGTGGGTTTTAATAATACAACCGTTGCAAGAAAATGAAAATTGATGAAATGTTATCAACGACCCCTTTCACTGAAATAAATACAAATGGTAAAAGGATAGATTGTTGTGGAGTATTTACAACGATTTGATGAGGTTTTGATAATGACAACATCCCACAAAGATGAGATTTGATTTGTGTTATGACCAAAATAATTGATACACAACCACCACAACCAAAGGGATGTGTTTATCAAATAGTATGCAATTGTGGGATTGCATACATCGGGGAGACAAAGCGACCATTAAATAAAAGGATAGATGACCACAAGTCGAAAGCAGCAACCAACAACTCCGCTGTAGCTGAACATTTGAACTCCAACCCTCGCCACAGAGTCCAATGGTCCAACGTAAAACCACTATGCAAGAATATAAGCAACAAGAGAGCGCGCCGATTACATGAAGCCATTCATATACGACGACACAAACCAACGATGAACAGAGATCAAGGATTGTTCCTTCCCAGGGCGTATGATATTCTTATCACATAATCAAGGCTAAGCATAATTCTACTTTTTTTCTTTTTTATCATATTTAATACTTATCAATATTCCAGAAACAACTTTAAGTTTGTAATAACCATCATAATATGCAAAAATGACAACTAATAATTCCCAACTATTTTTGCTTTTCAGGCATTTCTGCTTTTCAGGCCTGCGGTTATTGTAATTTAATGCACTCAATATTTCTAACCCTGCTTTTCTACATCACCATAACATCCAGTGAAGTACCACTCAATATTTTAAATTGTCAGCCTTCAGGGGACTATTGATCATTTGTGCAGTCATTGTTCTAAGGGTTTTTCGTATATCAGTGTAATCACTCGCATCAACATCCACATATCAATTATTTTGGTCATAACACAAATCAAATCTCATCTTTGTGGGATGTTGTCATTATCAAAACCTCATCAAATCGTTGTAAATACTCCACAACAATCTATCCTTTTACCATTTGTATTTATTTCAATGAAAGGGGTCGTTGATAACATTTCATCAATTTTCATTTTCTTGCAACGGTTGTATTATTAAAACCCACTAATCATTGTGTATACTCCACAACAACTTATCCATTAATCAATTAGTCAATTTTTTAGGTTAATTGGTATTATTACTTATTAGCGTACAATTAAATCAGATTACCATTAGGTACACGTAATTAAGTTACATCCCTGGTTTGTCATCATTAACTTAGCATTGTGGTGTACATGTATATATTGTCCTGTCATATTTTCATTTTTTATCATAGCTTGATAATGACTAGAGAAGCCTAGTCGAAACGTCGCTCAGTAAAAAGCAGTAATTGTATTCCATAGAATTGTGACCTGTATACTCTAGTTCAATTACTAAATGCCATTGAAACAGTTTAATTTATTCCCAGGTTACCCTTCACTGATTTGTCCGGTAGCTAGGCTAACGAAGTACTTTTTTATGTTGCGATATCGCCACATTCAGGTCATGCTCCCATTAATAGCATTCGTTATTAAAAACCATTCATTAAATTCATACTCCCATTAACTTCACAGTCCCACCAACTTCATACTCTCATCGATATATCTTATTAATGATTCATTGATTTCATGCTCTCCTTAAAGCCACGGAACGTCATTTACATTTTTCCGAAAATTTTGTTAATCCAAGCTTGAATGTACACAAATTGATTATTAAATAAATCAAAATCAAGATCAAATATACGTTAGTGGGTTCTTATTAAAGGGAGTAGGGCTCAATTTTTTGGAACCTTGAAATATACCAAAATGGTTCTAAAAGCACATATTAATGTAATATGAATGTATGTAAGGTGATTTATATTCAATTTTTGAGAAAAAAAAATATTGTAATTTCAATTATGTTCGTTGAAATACGCGAACAGTTTAAATTGAACGGCAGTCGTTTACGCCTACTAAGTGGATTCTACACGTTTTTATAGTATTATTTTGTCGTTTGTGAATCAGCCTTTACTAATTACTTCCTCATTGTGTTGTAGAATGTGTTTTATTTGTTCATTAGAAAATGGTACCCGAAACTATAGGGTACACATCTCGTGTACTGATCAATGTAAATATTGGATATTATTATCCTATAGTTTCATGGAAAGATAACGACATCAATATTGATTGAAACAGATCAATATTGAATTCTAATTCGTGTTTTTAATTTCGAATATTGAGTTGGAGACTTAGCTCCTTTAAACATACATTATGCAAGAGCTAAATCTGTCTTTCTTTAGGTCTTAAATGTCATATAAACTATTAGTTAGAGACTTATTAACATGACAAGCAGGGGCGTAAATGTGGGGTGTGTTTGGGGAATGAAAGCTGCCCAGTTAGTAGTACCGCTGGTGCGTGGGTCGTGGGGCGTCAGACTGTACAAATGTTCTGACAACTCTTGCAAAACAGGCGGAATTAACAGGGGCAGATTTCGAGATTCTGTTCCAATGACTCCTATTTCTGGTACTCTTGTTCACAAGTGCCAGGATATTGGTTCAACTTTTCAAAATTTAATTACAAAATCCATAACAATCATCATATTATATGACATATACTTTATGTCATCTTGAATAAAACTGCTTTCCGACGAGATAAAGATCGGCGAACAATTATTGGCAATACGATCTATGTCATTGTGGACGGCGCCCTAGATTTGGAACCTACCCACCCCCACCCCCTATTTTTGCTAAACACCCCCGCCCCCAAACAAAATCTTTATGTACGCCCCTGATGACAAGACAATAATCAACTTCGAATTTCCACAGATTTGATGATTAACCGTAAAAATAGTTTTTGTTTTGGTTCGTTTGGACTTTGCACAGTTTTTAATCTTTTGTTGACAATAAAAACTGTCTAAAGTCAAAACAAACGAAAACAAAATCAGCCAAAAATCAACATTTAAAGAGGTTTTCCGAAAAATATAAATAGCGTTCTGTGGCTTGAAGGAGAGCATGAAATTGATGAATCATGATATTAATAAATCGTGTATGAAGTTGGTGAGAGTATGAACTTTATGATTTTAATGGAGTTATGAAAATAATGAATGATATTTATAGGAGCATGACATGAATGTGCCGATTCTGTAACATAAAATAAATCAGTGTATGGCGACCTTGAAATAAGTTAATCATGGGCTTATCCGTATCTTGTAATTACAAGATAGTTATCTTGTAATAACATGATAGCTATATTGTAATTACAAGATAATCAGATTTCTTTTCATTTAATTGGCCCTAATGGTCTTCCGTAGTCGTTTGTATTGCTGAAAATAAAAGAAAAACACTAAAATGTTGTATTCAACTCGTTCCGTTCGTCATCATTATAGTCTGTTCTCCCAGTAATTTATTCACAATATCATCAAATGTCATTTTACAATGCTTCGTATTCGTGCCAGCGTTAAAATGGCATTACCATATTCTAAATAATGGGAAACTTAAATATATTTAGTTTCTACTCCGATCCAATAGATTCTTGAAATATCAAAACGTAGCCATGATGCAAAAGTATATAAGCTTTCGGCTTGTTTTTGTTATATTTCTTGATTACTATCATCATGGTATACTTCATATTTTATGAATCAATATTGTTTAAACCAACGATAATTGGATAATGAATCAAAATGAAATCGTGTCTAACAGGACTTATTTTAACTTGCCTGTAGGCACGAACGTGCCTATGGATGAAACAATCCGTGAAATCCGTGGTTTGAAAAAAAATGCTATGTGGCCTTGTGAATCTGGCAAGATTGTATGGGAAAACTTGGCATTCATTATGATCATCGACCACTTTCGATTTCTGTTTCAATCGTTTTGTATTGTTGACGTATTCCCACCACCAACTAAAGCACAAAAATTACATAGCATAGCATCGTCAGGTGCGGGTGACAGTGAAGGTTCGTTTGCCTTTGGATCTACTTTGGATGTTTTTTTGGACTGTTAATGATACTGAACACGGTTATAAATATAAATATGTTAAATCTGTTATATTTTGGTTATAAAAGTGTAAGCGTGTTATCGGAAGTCAAATTCTGGAAATTTTTTAGGAACCCCAAAACACGAGAAACCGCGCTTCGCGAAGAAAACCTTAAAATAGGCCTTGGTGTCTAACCTCCTAATTTTCTCCACCGACTGGAATAAATAAGACGGTCGCAGAAAAAATTGCGACTTTTGTCATACATGTTATTTCATCGTCATTGTTTCATTATTAATCATAACAAATATTT